GCCATCATTTTGGCAAAGCTCTCAGGGTGCCAGGTGCTGCTGGATTTTTGGTGTTGGGAAGAGGCTTGGTGCCTCCCTGGCAGACAAAGTGCTTGCCCTTACCTTAGTGGCATATTCCCAGGGAAGCATTTCCTTGCACAGGTACACCTGATAATATCCTCATAGCAGGGTCCTGCTGAGGATGAAAACCTCCAAGTGACAAACACTCCGAGTATTTCTCCTGTTTGCAGGGAAAACAAGCCCATCCCCTTCCACTCAGTTTAGTAGCACTGAGGTTTTCTCTTTCATAGCCCCATCAGTCAGCAGTTCACAGGGCCAGAGCCTGACCCAGAGCCACAGGGTCAGCACAGCATCCAGAGTGAGTCTGGGTTTCCAGCTCGTGTTAGTGGTTTGAAGTCTCTGGGCGAGAGGTGATGCTGGTGGCCAGCCCTGGCTGCTGTGTCAGTGTTCCTGGGCTTTTACATCAGGGTGGTGTGGGATGCTCTGGATGTGTTTCCCCTGTGGCCACATGGTGTGGGGGCTGGCAGCAGTGATCCAGGCTGCTGGAGCTGGTGATGCGCTCAGGGGCTGTTGCTGCCAGCACCAAACCCTCCCCTGTTCCTGGCCCAGTGCTTGGACCCAGGCTGTGACATGGGGAGCCAGTGCAGGGGTGGGTGTGCCAAGGCTGCAGTAGGACCATCACTCCTGCTCCTAAGAGCCACCCCGTGGGGTGCTGGAAAAGCCTGTGGGGACCCATAGCTGACAGCACAGTGTGGAGAAGGAGCAGGCAGAGCCTGGCTCCATGGGAAGCATGATAAGGAAGGCGAACAAGCAGCACCAGGGAGCCCCAGCACCCAGCTGTGCCCGCAGGAGAGGGGCCGTGGGGCTGGCAGCACCACAGGGAGGTGAGCAGAGAGGCCAGGAGCAAGTCCTGGGTAAATCACAGCTAATTTAAAATGGATCCAGGTCATCCCGAGGCTGGGCTGTCGTTGAACCGGTCTGGGTCGCTGAGGAATGTGGCTGCAGAGCCTCTCACACCACCGGGTGCAGGGAGCTGTGCACACACACAGGTGTGCTCCTGTCAGTGGGCTCCACAGCAGCCAGTCCTGCCACAGTGGGGCAAAAAGCAAAGGCTGCAGCTGGGCTCCCCTCTGTGCCATCACCCCCTTGGGTGAAGCCATCCCTGCAGGGCAGCCTGGCTGGGACAACGGTGCTGAGCCTCCTTGGCTGTGTCAAGGCTCATGGGAAGGGCAGGGAAAAGTGTGGGACATTGCCAGGGCCACCATGGGGCTCATCCCTGGCGTGCTGGACCTGCCTGGCCCAGCCACTCTGCGCCCCTTGGAGAGGAGCTGTGTGCTGAAATAGCTGTGGGAAAGCCTCCGCCACCCTTCCCCGAGCTAAAAATATGCCAAGGCTGTGTGTGCAGGGAGATATTTATAAACCAGGAGCCCTGGCAGGCTGGCTTGGCTAGGGAGAAATCCCATGTCCCCTGGGCTTGGGGACATCCCTAGCAGCCCTGCAGCTGAAGCAGGGTCCAGATGCTGGTGGGGGTCACTGTGTGGAATGTGCTGAGCATGGAACATCCAGATCTGGGCTCCCCCATGGAAAGAGCTGGGGAGAAACCAGAGAGGAACCAGGGGCTACTCCCCAGCACCTGGTGGATGAGGAGGCCAAGAGTGATGGGTTGGAATTGGGCCCCACAGAGCAGCCCCAGGCCATGGTCCAGAAGGAGGGAGTCAAACCCTGGATGAAGGTGCCTGATGGTGCAATAAGAGACATGGGCTCAAATCACAGTCTGGGATATTCAGGAGCACTGAGGATGCTGCAGCCCTGGGATGAATTGCCAGGTGGGGAGTCTCTGTCCTTGGAAATGCCAGACTTCTGCAGGACATAGTGGTGGCTATCACCAACCCGTGCCAGGGATAGCCCTGCTCTGGTGGGGCAGAGGACTCTGGTGCTGTCTCCCGGGGTTGGACTCGCCCTAAGAGAGTTTGCTGCCACCACAACACACTTATGTGGGGGGGGGTCCTCGCTCCCCAAACCCAAACTGGGGCATGGCTGCAGCTCCCAGGCCATCAGGGCTGGCAGCTCTAGTGTTAAACTGCAGAGTTTGGCTTAAAGTGTGATTAAGGCTGAATCACTGCCTCGATCCCACTAATCCTGGCCTGTGTGCCTGTGTACGCTGGGTAATCCCAGGAGATGGGCCCCAGCGGAGGAGACAGGCTGCAGGGAAAGCCAGGCTGATGATGTGGGGAGGAAAAGCCGGTGAGACCTGTGAGTGGGGCCCTCCTGCTGCCTGCTGCCCCAGCACCTGGGGCCAAGGGCACGGGCTCACGTCCCCGGCAGCCGCAGCGCCTGACGCGTGTCCTCCCTCGCTCCCTACAGCAGAGTCTGATGCCAGCGTCTTCGCCTCCAACTCCTTGCAGCGGAAGAAGAAAGGGCTGCTGCGCCCAGCACACTACCGGGCCAAGCCTCACCTCCTCATCGGGATGCCCCAGGACTTCCGCCAGATCTCCTCCATCATCGATGTGGACATCCTGCCCGAGACGCACCGGCGCGTGCGGCTCCACAAGCACGGCTCCGACAAGCCGCTGGGCTTCTACATCCGCGACGGCGTCAGCGTGCGCGTGGCCCCGCAGGGCGTCGAGAAGGTGCCCGGCATCTTCATCTCCCGCCTGGTGAAGGGCGGCTTGGCCGAGAGCACGGGGCTGCTGGCGGTGAGCGACGAGATCCTGGAGGTGAACGGCATCGACGTGGCCGGCAAGTCCCTGGACCAAGTGACGGACATGATGGTGGCCAACAGCCACAACCTCATCATCACCGTCAAGCCGGCCAACCAGCGCAACAACGTCATCCGCAGCAGCAAGGCCTCGGGCAGCTCCGGCGTGTCCACGGACAGCACCCCCAGCCAGCAGACCCCCAGCCCAGCCTCGCAGTACCTGAGCAACTACAGCACGGCCGAGAGCGACGAGGAGGGCGACCTGGTCATCGAGAGCGACAGCGCGTCCCACTACATCCCCGGGGGCTGCCCCAACGGGGGCCCCGCCGATGGACCCCTCCGGCGGAGCCTGTCCCCGCACAGCTCGCGGGGCTCCCTGCAGTCCCTCGGCAGCCACGACGGCAGCCCTGGCAGGGGCAGCGGACGGGAGGATGGCACCCTCCTCACCCTATAGCTGCAGGGACCTGTGCCACTTGGTGGCCGGCCGGGTTTCCGCTGATCTGGGCTGGAAGTGGACACCAGGGTGATGATGTGGCCAGCGGGCAGGGGTGGAGAGGGGCTGCCCTCTGCCCTCTCCCACCCCCTGTGACCCCAGGAGTCCCACTGTGGGATCCACTCAAGCTGGGCACTGCCCCTCTGAGCACCCTTGCCTCCTCTTCCAAGCAAGTGGGGGTTTTTAATTGTTTTATTGAAATATGCATCATTAATATATTGCAATGGACAGTAAAACTTTTTCTAGAAAGCAGCACGCTTGTCCCTGGTTCATGTCACTGCAGGGAGGAGGGGGACAGCGGGTGGGTACCCCAGCCCTGTGCACAGAAGGCAGTGCCTGGGGGCTGTGGCCTTGACCTTAGCACACCTTGTAACTTTGCTGCTGTGCCGGGTAACTCCACTGAGATGCACTGTGCCTGTTCCAGGACACATGTCCAGGCTGTTTTGGGCAGCTGCATGGCCTGATGGCCTGATGCAGTCAGCCTTGCTTGGTCCCCCTATTCCCACCTTGTCCCCTTTGCAGGGCCCTCAGTAATGCAGGGGACACCTGGTCTGGCAGCAGCACCTTGGCTGTCACTCAGCCCTGTAAACGCTGCTGGGGATGGTGCAGCCCCATCCTCCTTCTTCAGCCAGCCCCAAGCTCAGGGCATGGGGGTCCACACCTGTCCCTGCTGCTCTGGGGCTCCCAGCACCCTCAGTCCCTCTCCCAAAAGTGCTCAGCTGATGGTGGCACTCACTGCTGCCAAGGGCTTCTGTTGGGACTGGCAAGGAGGAAGACCTGCAGCTCTCAGGGTGTGAAAAGCCAGCACCAACTCTTCAGAGCCTCAGGCCAGGGCAGGCTGGGAGTGCAGCAAGGGCTGAGGACACTCATGGCACACAGCCAGGGCCCAGACAGAGCAGAGAGCAGATCTGGCAGCAGGGCTGGTTAGCCCAGGCTAGCTGTGGGCAGGGAGGTGCCCAGGGCTGTGCCCATGGCCCCCAGTCGCTCTGATCCAGCCGGCTCAGCCTGGCTGTGGGGTTTGCCCTGAGGTGGCCCCAGGGGCACACGGGGTGATTTTCCAGTTGGCATCTCACCTCCTCCAGCCCTCGAGTGCCAAAATATTCCCCACCCCTTGGCAGCGGTGTCAGCCCTGACATCCCAGGGCACTGCAGTGTGCCAGGTGGCACAGGCAGGGCTAGAATACTCCACAATATCCCCACCCCACAAAATCCTGCCCAGGATGGAGCAACCCCTGCAAAAATAAAAAAAAACCAGCTGCTTGGGGGATCCACACACAGTATCCCCAGCCTCTGTAGCAAATGGAGCAACAGCACAAGCTGCAAGAAGGGAAAACTTGATGGGATTTCAGGGGTAAAAGCATTCCCCCTAAGGCCAGCACTGTGTGGAGACAGAGCCCCAGCAAGGTGATGGGGGCAAGCTCCTCCTTGGAGATTCTCCTAATTAATTTGGATATGGCTCCAAGCTGTGGTGGCACCATGTCTCTGCTGAGCAGGAGATGCACTGAGCCATCCAGCCATCTGCAGCAAGATCCCTGCAAAGGTCTGCACAAGTTCCTACATGGCATCTGAAGGTAGGGCAGCAGTGAGCTCACCTTTGTGACGGCACCTTCCAGCCCTGTCCTGCCAGCCTGTGGACTGAGATCCAGCAGGATTTTGCACATTCTCCAGTCCATGTCCCACCACCATGTCCCAGCCCTATGAAACCACAGCTCATCCTTGCCTGCACTGTGCCAAAGCTGATGGCTTCTGCTGCCCCACACCATTCCTCAGGCCCTACTGGCCCACTGGGAGCTGCACACACACTGCAAGATGGAAATGATGATTTATTGGAGTATCTCCTGCCCCACAGACAACATAGGCTTCTCCAGACCCTCCTGATAGCTCAGCCCTTCTCTGGGCAGAAAACACTGAAGCTTTGTGCCTCTTTCTTGTCCCCAAGATGTCCCCTGAGCTCCCAGGGGATCAGGATGAGCCATGACCATGGTCCAGCTCAGGAGAAGGAGAATGACAAGAAATAGCACAGGCAGCAGCACAAGAGACCTCCTACCAGTTTCTAGAAGTAGGGAAAAAAGGGAAAGTAAGAGGTGATGCCACAGAGAGCAGAGAGCTGATCTGTGAGAAGTCAAGCAGCAGAGACAACTGCTCCCCAGACCACTGAGCAGAGCCTTTATTAGAGCATCTCCCTCCCTTTTCTGTGGACAAGACACAGCACTGAAAGGTGAGCAAGAGATGCCAGCCAGCGATGGACACTGTTATCAGCACCTGCATGGGCCCAGGGTCTGGAACTTGGCTTCCTCTCCTTCCCTCCCAAAAAGTGATGTCCATTCCTGCCCAGCAGCAAAGGAGGTTCAGGCAGAGCAGCACAGCATACCTGGCCCCACCAACTCAGGAGTCCAACTTGATGAAGACTTTTGGCCTTGAGAAAATTCTGATTGCCTCTTCTATCTGGGAGAGCTTCCTCTCGAGCTCTACCCGCCTCTTCTGCATCTTGAGGCTGTCTCCACGCATTGGCAGCAGAACCAGGTCCTTTATCAGCTGCTCTTGGCCTGTAAAAAGAGAAAAAAAAAAAGTTGTGTAAGTTGAAAAGCAAAGAAATCCACCCCTTTTCTAGTGCTATGAACTCAATGGCAGCACTGGAACAAGGACCTAAAATCCTTCTATTTAAAGCTCAGCCGGATGAAGACTTGAGGGACCTGCTCCAGCTTTGAGAACCAAGGACTGGACCAGAGACCTCTGAAGCTCCCTTCCAGCCAAAATCTTTCTAAGATTTTAGAAGTAAAAACAACCCCAATATCAAGTCCACTGGACACGTGTGCTCCAGAGAGCCAGTCCTGTAACCTGCAGGACACTGATTCCTCTTTCCATGCACACAGCTCACATCCTGCCTATATATGCCTTAATCCAGGCAACTCTCCAAGTGGCAGGAATACGTCCCTGTGTTTCTTCTCCCTTATCCTACCTAGGACTGTTTGTTTTTCTGAGCTGGATTCGCTGTTCCTTCCCCTCTTACTCTGCTTCAGGTTGCCGAGGGTCTCCAGGCGCTGGCCCTCGGGCATCATGGTGTGCCCGGGCGGCGTGTCGGGGTCTGGCAGGTTTCGCAGCCGCTCCTCCGTCTGCTTGCGCCACAGCTCCTTCCTCTCCAGCAGGCTGGAGGCAAAGGAGACCAGGTGTCAGCACATCTGGCACAGGCAGAGGCCAGGAATGTGCCCTTCAAACCCTGCTAGGCTCCATGTCACTGGCTGAGGACCCAGAGAGCAAAGTGCTGGCACACATCCTCATGGTGGGAGACACACCGTGTTTAAATCACACATGAGGATGAGCAAATGTCCTCCACACCCACAAAGGGCTGCTGGGAGAGATGCACTCAGGCCACCATGTGCTCCTTGGAGACAAGGGCTGCTGTTCCTCATTTCTGGCTCACCGTGTCCTCACCAAACCATCTGTGGGTCAATGGCAGAGTGAAGTCAGACAGCAGCTCACGGCCAAGGATGCTGGCAGAGGACTGGCACCACAGTCAGTCCTAGGACAGGGTCTGTTTCCCATGCACAGCACTAGCTGCATGTTCCTCAGAACCCAGACCCAAGGCAGGATGAACACCTGTGAGGCAGAGCGAGCTCCCTGCCTCTCCAAAACCAGACCTCTTCATGCCAAAGCTACATCACATGGAACAAAGCTTACAAAGCGGCAGGAGCACATTTCTCAAGGCACACAGAGCTTCCCCATATCAGCATCATTGTACAACAGCAAGTAAGGGAGGAGGAGACAAAACTGCCTCTGTGCCCTGTCACACTGGGCATGGGATGCTGGTTAAGCCAAGAAAGCAGAGGGGACAGCGTTTACTCCCCAGGTCACAGAAAATGGCACTGCTGCACATTGCAGGAGCACCTCTGTGCCCAGCCCATCTCTCTAGGCAGAAGCTGAGGGGTGCATCAAGGCTGTTACAGTCCCGTGGAGCAGAGAGGGGCACACATACTACTGGGGGACGTGGCCCTTTTGCTTGGCGTTGTACTCCTCCTGCTCCCGCTGCTTCTGCTGCAGCAGCTCGGCCAGCGCCTGCAGGGACTGGGAGCGGCGCAGCGGGGCCCGCTTGGCAGCACAGGCGTTGTGCCTGATGAAGTCAACGCTCCTGCCCTCCACCTGCACCTGCAAAAGAGATAGAGAGGCATCAGGGGCGGGCTGGGCACGTGCACACAGCCAGTTGTCACTGTCCACACAAAGGAAAAAGCAAAAATGCACCACACAAGATACTGAATTGTATGGCAGCAGGACAGGCACAGCCTGTCTCAGTGTGCAGCCAAAGACAGGCAGGAGCTATGGCCATCGTTTGGGGAGGCAGGCACCAAAAGCCAAGCCTAATCCTGGCCTCTTTAAGGTACCTGAGATGACCACATACCTGAAAAGCCAGAAGGACAATAAAAAAAAAAAACAGGCTTGATGTAGTCCCCATGGCTCCTACTGGTGCATTTGGAGGGCAGAGGGAAAACAGGCTGGGTGATCAGTGGGCCAAGAAATAGAATAGAACCCCTGGCAGAGCAGGAACTTTGCTGATCCTTGGGGCACTTCCCCAGAGACAGCACCTCCACCACAGCCCCTCTGCTGGACAAAACAGTGGAGAAGGTGGCTGTGTTTGCATTTAAGATTTCCCTGGTCTTCCTCCTTTGTAGATAATGTCCTGTTTAATTAAGTCATTCATGGCATTTAGGAACCAACAAACTGACAATCTCACACTTGCCAAGGGAAAAGGACATGAGTCATGGAGCTGTTTAGGAGCTCCCAAACAGACTACTTGAAAGGTTTAGCTACTAATGCTGATTTCACTCTCCTTACTAAAACACACACTCATTTCCCAAATTTTTATCTAACATCCAGAAGGCACAGCTCCTTTGATTACAGTGGGAACAGCTTCCAAAACCCCAAGACCTCCTGCAAAGCCCTTGGAAGAGCAGATTTGAGACTGCTGGCAGGAGGAGGTGGAATTTACACAGGGAACTTCATGATCTCCTTAACTATGAGTGAGGATGAAGCTAGAATTAACAGTCCCTGAGTATCCATCTCACCACCCCAGTGACCAAGACCCTGTTCCTTCCCCTCAGCCAGGAACAGTATTTATAGATCTCCCTACTCATGCAGCACATCTGACTCAACACTTTAGGAGACGTGAAGAGCTCAAAGCAGGAGCAATGGATCAGTGCCAGGAATCCCTGGGATGGATGTAGTTAGCGTGTAACTCACCTTGGTTTCAGCAGCCTGTGCCTCTGTGTCTGCTCCTGCCTTTGCTCTGACAGGCCTTGGGGACAGTGGTCTGCAGGGCCTGATCCCAGAGCCACAGCGGGAATACGCCCTCAGGAAATTCACAGCCTCGGGACTGGGAGCTGGGGAGGTCTCCTGGGAAAGGCAAGAGAAGATGCACTAGTGGAGGGAGGCTGGAGCAAAGAAAAACCCTCTCAACCAAGTTTGGGTGGTCAGCCACGAGCTCAGCTACAGGTTTCCGGCAGGCACTCGACAGCACACGCTTTCTGCCACGGCCTGGCAGAAGTTCTTGGGGAAGAGATTCTGTAGTCAGCCAGCAAAGGCCAACAAACAGCACCAGATCCAGGCCTGGACACTGAATGAACAGCTAAAAACAGGGGCGGAACTCTCCACACATTTGGATCAAGTAGCTAGGCACGAGGCTGCCTGCTGAGGTGCTGCTCTCGAGTGCTGCTCTGCTCAGCACCTCAATCTGTGCTTATATCACTCGAGAAAGAAAAAGGAGCAGAGAGAGGAGGAGTCTGGTGGAATTTCATCTGAGGGGCATCTTCAAAGGCTGTGGCACAGGCTGACGGTACTTGATGTCTATCAAGTGGTCTGGGACTATCTCAGACAGTCTTGTTGCAAACAAACCCTGAAAACTGAAAGTTGACACTGTGGCAAGTGGGTGACCTTATGAAAAATGCAGCTGGGACACTGCTCTGCCCTTGGAAGTGATGGGAACTGCACAGAGCCACCCCCAGATCTTTACAAACACCCAAGGGCTCAGCTGAACTGCAGCCCCCTGGGGAAGATTTCTTCTTGCCTGGCCCATTCAGCTGGGCAGAGCTGCAGACAGATGGTGGGACTGGGCAGCCACATGGTGGGTTTGGTGTGAGGAGCAGGATGCCCTCAGCACTACCCAGACTGTTCATGCTCCAAAGATGACCAGTCTTGTTTCAACAGGAGATCAGGCTCTCTCTGGTCTGTTAATGAGAATTGCCTTTACCTAGCACAGTTAGCTCAAAGTGTTTGAGTCTGTGACCTCAGGAGCACAGAGCACAGCTTGCCCCATCTCCCTCCACAGAGCACTGGGACTGCCAGAACCTTTTCCAAGACAACTGCTACAGCTAACAGCCTCAGAGACAGATGACAGAGAAAAGACTCTGCATTAGTCATCAAGATGCAGCAGCAACTGAAACTCTGAGCAGCAGTAGCACAGAAGATGGAGATCCTTCACAGGGAACACCTCAGCTCCAGGAGAGCCGCAGCAACAGTTAAAGCATCATGAGTCAGTGCCAGGGCCTCTCTGGAGGAATACACAGAGCACAAGTAACGCACCACGCAGAACCTGCCTGCGCAGAGACCACCCCCTTTCCCCAAAACAAAGGAAGAAATGAGCTCAATCTTCCTCTAACCCGGAGGATTTGTCAAACAAGAGCGTAGGCTTGTGTTCTTGAAGTGCTCGTGGGTTTGCTCCCATGTGTGGAAGGGTCACAGATACCAAAGAGGTTGGTGACACACCAGGAAGAAGGGACACAGCTGTTGGAACCACTGGCTTGGGAATCATCACGGCCAATTTTTACAGTTGTTATCAATACACGTCATTTTAACATCAAAAGCTGGCCACAGATGAAAGGGAAGCAATGCAAAGATGAGGAGGGACTTAAAGGCTCCAACTCAGCACTCTCACAGGCTGTGCTGATCTATGAGGCCTCAGCCCTGACTGCCTGGAGATGTCTGTGTGCCCCCCCGAGCAGTGGCTGTTCACCAGGACAATCACCTGGGGAAGAAGGCAGGGAACACATCACCCACTGTGTATCCACAGGGTGGGAATAGCTGCACTGAGGCTCAATGCAGCCTGCAGAGAACCTGAGAACCACAATCCATGGGGTAAAACACCACAGCCTTTGGGCACAAACCCCAGAGAAGTGCTGCCCCAAACATGGGGACGCTGAAAAGCCAGATAGGAGCATCCCCTGGCAGGAAATATGGCTACGAGGGGGAAGCAGGACAGGGATTATGGCAGGAATCACCCGCTGGACCCAAACCACACGCTCTCACTCACAGCCCCACTGCCACACCTGCCCCTTGTGCTTCAGCACTGAGATGCCCCCAGATCCTGCAGGCTCCAGGACTGCCCTGTCTCCATCATCCCACTGTTCCTCATGCCTGAGCCTGCAGAGTTCAAGAGCTCCTCCATAGACACCAACCTGCAGTTTGGCCTTCACCTTTGACTCCACATTTTCGTATTTCTGGGATTTCCACAGAGCTTTCACAGGCTTGGGCTGGCTGCGCTCTTGGGCTCGCTCCTTCTCTTTGCACTTCTTCTGAATCTCCTTTATCCGCCTCACATTCTCCTTCTCGTAGTCCTTGGCCTCTTTCCCTGCTCAGCAAGGGGAGACACACCTTCACCTCCCAGACACTGGCATGGGATGCAGCCACAGATCCCTTCCAAAGCTGGTTCAACAGCCAGGAGAACCAGCAAGTCCCTCCCTCTCCTGCAGACTAGACCACCTCTGCATCCTGCCCCTGTTAGGTACACGCTCCCAGGCTGACTCCTCTGCCAGAGGACCCCAGCATGCCCAGATGAGCATCAGAACAGGTCAGTGCACACTGCTGGTGTTGACAGACTCCTTGTTCTCCTCTTGTCCCAGTATGGACTGTGCCAGACAGGCCATGCCAGCATCCTCTCAAGAGCAAGGTCAATTCCCAGTTCAGCTCACAGGGTGTTTCTGAACTAGAGAGGGCTGCAGAGCCTTGAACTTGCCCTGTTCCTGGTTTCAGGGTCAGCCATTGTCCCACATTCAAGTGGACACAACCAAGATTATGGATTAGGGGTCTGTTTTATTTTGGTTTTGAATCAAAAGCTATCCTTCCTTGGGCTCCCCTAGGCAGGGAATATCTCAGCTGACATAACCAGATGCTCATCCATTCCCTTCCCTGTTTGGGCACAGCATTTGTGGCATCTACCACATTGGCACCAGGGCAATGCCAGCACATGAAATAAATTAAAATTACATACAGGGCTCAACCTTATCTCCTTCCTGGACCTCTGAATGTATCCTGGGTGACATCTCTGCCCTGCAGAAGGGAACATCTTTTGCAAAGATGTTCTCACATCCACATACACAGGCACCCTTCCCAAATCCTGCATGGCTTCACCAACTAGGAACTCGCCACATTAAAATCCTCAATGCATCAAGGTTTAGTTTGATTCATATAGAAGTTTGACTATAAAGAAGTCCAAAATTTTGCACCTTTTTTCAAGTCCCTCTCCCCATTTTAAACCTGAGACTGGAGCCAAAACATCACTGGTTCCAGCACAGGTGACTCCTCTGCCAGGCCAAAATCTGCAGAGGGGGTGACCAGCCCTGTGAAGCTCAAGCTCTCCTCAGGCAGCAGATCCTGGGAATCCACCCCAAATCCCTGATGCTTCATCCCTGGCCCCAAAGGCAGCTGAAGCCAGCAGTGACTTGCTGCACTCACTCTTAACTGGCATTCCCTCATCAAGGGAGATGCCCTGGAGCTGCAGCAAGAGGCTGAGTGTCCCTTTCTGTCCCCTCTCCAGGAAGTCCTGCCCGCTGGGGCGAATGCGAGGGGCTGGCTGGGCCTGGCGGGCACTGCCCAGCACGGGGTAGGGGTTGGGAACCGGGTCCAGGGAGGTAAAACACAGATTCTGAGCATTTCCTTCCAGCCTCCCTCGAGCTGCAGGGAAAGAAAAAGGAGAACCTTGTCAGGAAATGATCTTACCTCAGTTTTCTGCACCCACAGCCCACAAACAACGTGATGACCCCCTCTTCACCTCTGCCTTATGCTTTCCCATCTTTCAACCAGCTGTACAGACTACTTTAGGATCACCACACAGATTCACACTTCATCAGTGTGAATAGAGACTGTCGAGGACACCAAGGGACAAGGACATCCAGCTGTGTCACACCAAAGCACAAACCCCCAAACCTGTACCAAGCATCAGGGACTCACCTGAGACGGGGCGTTTGTAATACTCTGGAAAGAGCGTTGGGTCTGGAGGAATGGGGCCAGAAATCCTGGATGGCCCTTCACACATCCTGCCACACGCTGCTCTGCCTCTGCCACAGAAACCAACCACCACTGAGAACAGAAATCAGCAGGGCTCACTGAGCCACCAAAAAGCTACATTTAATATACATATATAGAGTGGAATTTCTGATTTTCATTTGACACCTCACCCCCAGCTCCAGAGATGTCCTGCAGGTAGAAACCACCCCAAGCTGGACTCTCTGCAGGTGAAGGGTCCAGCAGCCCTGTCCATGCTGCGGGTCAGTGTTTTAACCAGTGCTGAAAATGCCCATAGTTGCTGTAATATTGGTACCTTCAGTACAAAATATCCTTCGTGGCTTTGTTCTCCCATATGGATACATTGAATGCAGACACAGAAGGAGTGACCATCATCTGACAGCTTTTAGCCTGAGATGTGAATTATCCTGTACACTGGGCTCCCTCTAAATGGTTCCTGTGGTTCAAACACAATTTGTCCAGAGGAAGCTGAAGGTCCTGCCCCACATGGCCATATCCTCCCTGAGAACACACCTGTGCTGTCACCACCCCTGAGCAGGCTGGGGCTGACCCTCAGGAGGACAAACACTTTACAAAAAGACAAAACATCTCCCTCCAGGACCATGTGGGGCAGAGACTGGATTTCTGGGGAAGAGCCCAGTGGGTTCTCAGGTGTTGGGGAGAAGAGAGTTACTTGCTTAGAAGAACATGTTTTTCATTTCTGAAGTACTTTTCAAAGCACCAGAGAACCATAAGCCCACACAGGTCCCTGTTGCTTCTCTTCTCTCCATGACAGAAGCACAGACCCTTCCACCAGGAAGGGACAGGAGCAGCCAGCATCAATTTCCCTGCACTGTTCACCAAGATCTCCTGGATAGCATTTTTATACCTCCAACAAACCCACTCAGAACGTGAGCATGCAGGATGCCACAGCAGCAGGCACAGGCTGCTGAGGAGCTCTCAGCAGATGCCACAAGAGCCTCATCAGAGTCACACCACAATTTTGACAGGCGCCAGGGCAGCTTGGCTGGAGTCACTGCTGTAAGAGCTGGGGCTACAACCTGCACTCCCTGACTCCTGAGGCAGTAATTTAAACATTTCTGAGACAACTTCGATGGAAAGAATCCCTTTCAGATCCTCAGCATGCCAGCACTGACGGGACGCAGCATCTGCAGTTTAATTTATAAACCAATAAACGATCAGTGCAAGGCTGAGTGAACCTGGCTCATAGCAACTAATGCACTGCAGTCTTCCTTGCTAAATCACCCCTGTTGACATGAGACCCATTAGCAAAATGCTGTTATTCATCTCCTGGACACAACGGCAGAGGCAATACAAGCAGTGCTGACTGCTGCACACCAGCATGCATGTGCAGCCTCTAGCCAGCTGCTCTGGAAAGGCTATTTCTGAAAAGCAGGCACAGACTCAGCCAGAGATAAAAGGATGCTGGCTTGGTATTATTTAATCTCCTCGATAATGGATCAACTAAGCCAGAACAGCCTCTCTTATTCTAGAGGAAAAAAAAAAAAAAGAAAAAAAGAAAGCGTTCACCATGAGCTCACTCCAGAACAGCTACTGGCTTTGAAATGCACATCTGATCTTGATCTGAACTCGAGTCCCAACCCAGTGATTTACACGCAAAATGACAGGCTGAAATCAAGACCTGTAACAGGGCAGACAATTCCTGCGGGGGACTGAAGGAGGAAAGGCAAGCTGATGGGAGGCGGGGGATGAAGGCTCATTTTATACCTTAGCATCCCAACTGCACCCTGCCCTGCTGCAGGGAATTTGCAAATGACACCCACTCCCTGATTTGCAAGTCACATCACCTCTGGCATGGGATCTTGCAAGATCAGACAACCTCATTACAACAGGGAGCATCTTGTCCACGTAGGGACCGACAGGGACACAAGCCCCCAGCAGCAGTGCCCCAGCCGCTGGCACTGACCTCTCCAGCTGCTGCTCTGCTCCTGCTCACCAGGGGCCCACTGGGGGGACACGAGTGACAGACCCTCATGGCTCACTCCTGCCAAGAGGGACTGTGTGACCTCTGCTGTCACTGCCACCTGCTTCATTTCTTGGGACAGCTTTGCAGCACCACCAGCCCTGTGCTGAGCCAATTCCACTCGCTGCCCCTGCATCAAACAAGTCACTTCTTTCACTGGGTTTGTTTTCTGCCCATGTAAGCTTTTGTCCAAAAGGAATGTGATTTTTACATCCACAGGGGGATCAGAGACGCACTGGAGGAAGCATCAGGGAAACACAGCAGGAGCACATATGAACACAGAGGAGAGGGATGAGGGAACAGGGTCAGCCCTCTTGGGGGCTTTCCTGCACCCAGGAAAGCATCTGCTTCCCCACCACATCAGAAACCTGAACATCAACAGTGCAGTACCCAACCTGCTGCCACCAGACACACACTACTTATGCATTCACAGGCTGTGAGACTCCGGCACGCTCTGCAGAAGCTGCCTAAATAAGTCCAGGCAAACAGATGTATGTGTGCCACTGCTCTCTGTTCCTGCTCCTCACCAGCCTCAGACTCCCTAGGGAAGAGTCACAGCTCCCAGCCACCCTGCACAGCTACAGGAGGCACAGAGCAGTTGCTGGAGTAACCCAATAACTCCAACACTGCTCACTCAGCCCTGTGTGCTGCTCCCTCCACCAGAACCACGGCTTTATGCTGGCCTAGGAGCCAAGCAATGCAGGTTCCAGTTCTCTCTCTCAGAGTGTCTGCAAGTTTAGTAACCATTTACTCTACTATGTGCCCTTTGCTGTAGCTTGACCTAGTGGTAAAAATGCTGCTTATCCCCCTGTTAAATTGAGCCCCTTCAGAGACTGTAAGAACCACAGCTTCCTTTTGTGGCTTGTTTTTGACATTGTAGTTAAGGTAACTGCAAAACATGGGAACAAACAAGCCACAGGCAGGTGCATTTCACAGCCTTGAGCCCTGGCATCTGACTTTGAAGCATTCCCTCTTTTCCACAGATGACATTTTCACTGTGCTTGGGTCCCTGGCCAGGAAGCTGCTACCACACACAGAGCTGATGCCAGCCCAGCTTCTTGCCTTCCTGAGCCAATCTCTGCAAAAAGCATGGGAAAAAACATCCCACGGTTGTGATAAGCTGTGATAAGCAGAGCAAGTCATCTGCAGCAAATCAAAGGGCTAATCTCCGTGCAGCTGGTCTTGCACGTTTGATTCCTTCCTCAACAGTTTTAGCTGAAATGGAAAGTCACATCAGGATAACTTCCACGCCCGAGGGCTGCACTAAAACAGCACCAATGGATTTGTGACCATTCCTCCTGAAAAACTGGGAGCTGGGACCAGGGTCAGTGTGCTGTGAACCGACCCAGTGGTTTTTGTCCCTGCCTAAACCTTCTCCTTGCTAACTGCTATGAGAGAGATTAATATTCTCCTTTTAATACTATTCTCCATGCGGATTTCCGCAGGTCTCACCAGATCTTCCCCATCTGCCAGTCTCAAAGACCCATTTTTCCTTTTGTCTCTCTGAAAACAAAGGGACAGGTACAGCCAGGTGCGATACTGGCATTTGCATTTCTGGGAGCTGGTGCCTACCAACAGCTCTTTAGGAATGAAGCCAGCTTGGGCAGTGTGCAGGGAGGAGCTGAACGAGGACCGTGCCCGGCACGGGAAGGTGAGCAGAGACTGCTGCGGTACCACAGAGCTGCAGCCCAGCCCTGTCTCTGGCGGGCAAGGACTGATGAGGACGCGGAGGCGCCACCTCAAGGCGTGGGGTTCCTCTGGGATGGAAGGACGAGCCCCGTGCTGAGGCTGGAGCTTGTGCGGCAGCCCCCACCTCCTTCGGCCGGGCTGGCACGGGAGATAACCCCGGGGGACACGTGCTGAGAGCCGGCACCGCGCGGAGCGACAGCGGCACCGCCGGGGGGCCGGACACGGCCGGGGGACCGGGAACCACCGGGGGACCGGGCACCGCCGGGGGACCGGGAACCACCGGGGGACCGGACACCGCCGGGGGACCGGGCACCACCGGGGGACCGGGAACCACCGGGGGACCGGGAACCACCGGGGACAGGACACCGCCGGGGGACCGGGCACCACCGGGGGACCGGACACGGCTGGGGGACCGGGAACCACCGGGGGACCGGGCACCGCCGGGGGACCGGACATGGCCGGGGGACCGGGCACCACCGGGGGACCGGGCACCACCGGGGGACCGGACACAGCCGGGGGACTGGGCACCGCCGGAGGACCGGGAACCACCGGGGGAACCCTGGCTCCCTTCGCTGGGGCTCGGGAGGCGCTGCCAGCAGCGCAGTCCCGCGGTGCCGGGGCCCGCAGCCTCCCCCGGGCGCTGCCCCTGCCCCGGGCCCGGCGCTTCCCGCCGTCGTCGGGCCGGGCAGGGCCCGTGCGGTGCCCCGAGAGGACTCACCGAGGGAGGGAGGGAGGGAGGGAGGCCGCGGAGAAGCGCTCCGGGCCGGGCCGGGCGGCGCTGGGCCCGCCCGCCGGCAGCCGAGGGCCCGGCCCGGCCGCTCCCCGGCAACGCCGCTTCCGCCGCGAGGGGCGGGCCCGGCCCGGGGCCCCGCCGGCCGTGCCCGGGCAGCCGCAGCACACGGGGGACACCGAGCCCCCGGTGCACAACAGGGATGGCACGGGGGAACCCAGGGTTCACGGCTGGAATCCGCTCCTGGGGTCACCGCCCCGCTCTGCCCGCGCAGGCAGCTGCAGGCTGCAGCCCACGAGAGGTCCTTTCACCTCTCCGACTATTCTGCGGTCACGTCTCCTTCTCACCCAGCAGTCTCGGCTCCCTCCTTCCTTCACTGTCTTGTGCTTCTTTCTTATAGAGAAGGAGCTGCACTTTAGATTGTTCTGCCCAATACAGACTTAGTGACAAAGGCACAAAGTAAAGTTCTCAGTTCCAGGACAGCTTCAAAACAGACCCCAAACTGACATGAAAACAGTCAGGGCTCTTCTACCTGAATGAAGGTGGTGACTGCCAGGTGAGCTCAGGACGGATTATCTCATCCATTTGACGCAGCACACAGACTCCACAGGCATTAGATGCTCACACCTATGGCAGGATCATTGAGTATAACTCCTGGCCTGCACAGGACAACCCCAAGAATCCCACCCTGTGCCTCCCAGAGCATTTTCCAAATTCTTCTTGAACTCTGGCAAGCTTGGGGCCACGACCACTTCCCTGGGGAAACTATTTCAGTGCCCAACCACCTTCTGGGTGAAGAACCTTTTCCTAATACCCAATCTAACCATGCACTTCCTTCACACAGCTCACAATAGAGATGAGAATGTGCAGAGCACAAGAGCAGCCACGTGCTCCTACCCTTTAAAACAGTACAGCAGCGGACTTGCTCCTGTCAGAGTCTGGAAAGTAAATATCCAAAGGTAAATACCTAATTTACACACCAAGCAAAGTGGTCCCATCAATACTGCAGGGATTTTGCTTCTTACTTGGTGTCTTCTGGCAACTTTTACAATAAGTGGGGAATGAATGAGTCTCCTGTTCACTTTTATTAAGATTGTTTTAGCTTGACCAAATCAAACACAAACACACAGCTGCATAGAGAATTCCCTCAACAAACACAACTTTTTATTTCTGTAGAAAACATTATACTTTTCAGGAAGGTCCAGCTTATGGAACAGCAGCGTGCATGTTAATATACATAAATACACAGGGTTACAATTTAGTGGGAAATTCATTTTTAAAAAAGCTTTCAAGTACACAAAACAAATGTAGTAAAATTAGACTATCCTTTCCACATACCTGCCTCAGAGAGAAACATTTCTCAAAAGGAATGAACTGCCACCCCATCACTTTCCAACAAATCTCTCCACTGAACAGCAGCTGCAGGAGAGCATGAAGATGGGCTGGATCAGAGGGTTAATAGCCAGTGTTTGAAATCAAGAGCACATTTACCCATGGCAGTTCAGTCCCTGTTCTCTCAGCTATCAGGATGTGTGTAGTGTTGACAGTTCCCCAGCCAGCACATTAAGAGAGCTGCAAGAGGTAGGAAATACCTCCTTCCTTCCACTTTCAGGTCCCTGAAAGGTTCATGCTGTACAACTTTGTTACCCACGACACTGTGGCAGTCCCGTGACCCAGGGAGGCATTTATTTAGTAACAGTCACAGAAATGAGAACACGGCCCCACAGGCACGGCAGGGGTGCTGCCAGGCAGTAAACACAACTGACATAAGCACAGAGCTTATGGAAAAACAGCTGCTGGATGCAGGCAGCCTCTTGAGTAGAAGGAATAATGTCTACAAATACAGAAGAATAGCTCAATGCATCACAGACTTCCTGAATATTTTCCTGCCAAGACATCAACAACTGAGAATTATAGTAACATTTAAATAAAACATCAGTTTGAATGAATTTGAAAGACATTTACCACATACAGGAAGCCAAAAGGCTGATCCTTATGTTACTAACTTTAATCCATTCCTTCTACTTGTTGTCCTATAGAGTTCAGACATTTCTTGCATCGCTAAACTCTTTCCTAAAATTTTACAAACTGAGGATTAAAACATAAATCAGTCTCCAAGAGAGAAGAAAAAGGCATCTGAACAACAGATACTCCCTGATCTTGCTCTACGTGCTCTCATGGTTAAATCAGCAACCTGTGCAACGGGGGTTGTGTCCCATTTCCAAGCCACGCAATGGCAGAGATCCCACGATTCACTTCAGCTACTGCAAGTGCAAAGGGCAATTCAAGTTTTCCTACCAGTCTCCAAAGACAAAAATTAAATGTCTGCAAAAAACAGAAACATTTAAAACTCTTCAAACAATTTAAACCAGAACTGTTCGTATCAGAACATATTTTACATGTTTAAAAATACCAAGAAACTCAGGCTATTAAATAAGAATCTACATATCTTAAAAACTGTGGTTTTTTACATTACAGCCATAAATGTTAATCGTCCTATTTTCCAAGGTAGGAATGTTCATAAGTTATTTCTTTGAAGTGCCTCACAGAGGTTTTGGTTGGCATCTGGTTCCTCAGTCATCACCTCCACAGTCTCCCACTCACCTGACCTACTGGATTTCTTGATGGCCTCTACCACACTCTGCATGTACAGGCCATCTTCAAAAGAGGCTGCCATAGACACAGGTTTATGATCCCACGTCCGACGGTCTTCCTGCTCTTGGAAAGACTGCCGCAGGGCTTGCACCATGTACACCATTCCTTTCAGGTAAAGCAGCGGGATGTCCTTGAAGCCCTTATCCAAAAGGCCCTTGTTGACGGGCAGAGAGTCTGTAAACAGCAGCTCTTCCTGGAGCGCAGTGTTCTTCTGCCCGTACAAGTCTGTCCCACGAGCTATGAGGCGGCCGGCAGAGCCCACGATCATGACCTCGTGGATGAACGATCCGGGCATGTTGAAGTTGAGGGTCACAGTGCAACAGACACCGTCACTCATGAGCATCTGGAACACGCAGAAGTCATCGCTGGTGACGTGGCGGATCCCGCTGATGGCCGTGTTCTGCTTCACAAAGGTCTTGAGCAAACCGTGCACCTTCTGAGCTCTCCTGCTGGTGAGGTGAGTCAGGAGGTCGATGATGTAGGTGCCCATGGTGTGCAGCCCACCCCCTCCCATGAGCTCGTCGCAGATCCAGTTGTACTTGTGGCTGAGCAGGCTGCCCCCGTAGACTCGCACGTCGCAGATGATGACGTTGCCCACGTAGTGCTCCTCTATCAGCTGCTTCATCTTCACAAAGGCGGGCAGGAAACGCAGAACGTTGCCAACGATGCTCATCAGCTTGGGGTAATACCTGGCAGCTGTGACCATCCTGAAGGCATCCACAGAGGTAGCAGCTTTCTCACACAGCACGTTCTTCCCAATTCCTGCAGCACAAATGAAAAAATAATTTAGCACACTTGAGCAAAACATACTCAGATGTCAAGATGTCAAGAAGTGGTGTTTTTAAAAGTTGGGCTTTCCTGCTGCAATTTCTAAGGTAAAGATCTGGGAACTAAAGTAGGAATGCCCAGTCCAGCAAGACTCAATGCTGTTTCCAGATGCTCTAGTTGCAGAGCTGACAAACTCTCACAGAAGGAGACTCCAAATAAAGAGAGGATTTTTACGTCATGAAAGATAAATGTCCAAATGGCATCACATGGCATCAGAACAAGATACAATATGAGTGCTATAGTTAAAAAATTATTTGATTACCTGTACAGCCAGAGGACAAAAAAAAAACCAAAAAACAAAAACACGTACCCTGCAGGGAAGAGGTGGGGAAAGGGGAGATTTGATTTTCACTTTGTATTTCACCACCACTATACAATTTCTTTAAATTTATATAAATGGGGCATACAATTTACTTATATAAAAAAAGGTATATATAAAAGATATACATACAGATTCTGTGTACAGAACACAAGAATTAGAAATAATGTTTTGGAAAATGGACTGTTTTAAAACAACCCTTTTAATTTGAAAGAAACTCATTTTGGTCTGCATATACAGTCTGTTTGCACAATCAGACAAAAGGTGACTCAGTTACATGGACAAGAGCTGCACCCCCAAGCTGACCCACTGCACTGTCATTGCTCCTGATGCACTTTACATAGTGCTCAGCCTAAATCAATGGGGCAGTCAATAATCCTCTTTTTGATCCTGGCTGTAAAGCAGAAATTAATAATACAAAAGAGCATGACAGTACAAGTTTTAACCAGTTCTTACATTTGGAGCTTTTCTGATATCCCCCTTCTCATAGCAGGGCTTTACTTTTTACTGTTTTTTCCTTTTTACATCTGTTCTGATCAAATACTTATTGAAACATTTTTCACTGTAATAACCACGTTATTCCTAACATGGTTATTACAGACACCAACTGGGGATGCCAGACCTGAAGGTCAGTCGTGGCACACCACAGTTTCTGCCCAAGAATTGCAGGAATCACTGCACACAGTGGTGGGCACCTCTCTGAGAGCTCCTCCTGAGCCAGGAGCAGACTGTGCTCCCTGCTCAGCACAGGTTTTAATTGACTCGCGGTGAGGAGGTACCAGCACAGGCACTTTAATCGGTCTGTGGCTCCTGCTCGCCGCGCTCCCCCTCCCGGCTGCACCCAGCCAGCCCTCCAGGAACCCTCCCCGGGCCAGCGCCCAGCTCAGCTCCCGTGACACAGCTCAGCCAGGGGACAGCTATGGGAGACTCAGAAACTCTGCTTCTAATAGACACAAGTGAAATCCAGTCAGAAAATGGGAAGACTACAAGTTAGAAATCCCCTATATTGATACGAGTCTACAGCAGCTTTAATGAACGAAGGGTCAGGTTAAACTTCCAGTGGACACCCTGGCTGTCCATTGGTAACCCCCATTTCAGGGACCATTTCTGACTCTGCAGTTCCCAGTCCTGCTGCAAGGGAAGGCACAACACTCAGTTCAGTAATTTTCAGGAGTAGCTGAAGCACCTGGACAAGCATCTGGAGCTGCTCCAGTCCAGTTTATCTGCCTTGTTTAAATGGTGCTTGTCTC